GCTGCTGCCACCACTCACTAAGCTTGAACACGCTTCACCCCCTCCTCCACAGCCTGCACACCCTCAACTCTCTTCCAATGTCCACCATCAAGCATGCAACACCCCCACTCTCCTCCATTCCCCACTTTATTGCCACATATTATTTTCTGCTGTGCAAGCCTCTGGCACAGGAGATGGCCAAAGTTCTTTGCTGAAAAACCACCTCACTACTGCTTCCACTTTTTCTGCCTTATTACCCTTCCTCTTCCCCCCAAACACAATTATCCACACTCTATCATCTCTAGTTAGACAGGCAGTCCTACAATGTATTAGGGAGCCACTACTCCTCATTCCATACAGCACAGCGGGAGCTCCGGAGCCACTACTCCCGCCTCCATACAGCACAGCAAGAGCTCTGGAGTCCCCCTATCACTGTACAGCACACAGCTCATCCACATAATACAACACAGCCAGAACTTGGTGCACATCACAATTTACTGCTTCATATCCACTCAACGCAATGAATGCAGCTATGCAGCATGCCAGCCAAAAAAAAAAAAAAGGTGTAAAAACTTTTTTTTTTGCAATTATAAATTTGAAAAATATAAAAGCAGGGGGGATGGGTCTAAGGTCCGCTTTAACATGGTGACACCTTCCAAGGTAAAAGTTGGCACACATCGACAGAATGAGGGCTGAGAGGAGGAAATACAGAAACACTACAGCAGCAGATAACCAATTGTGTTTATTACATAACATTACACCCCAGCCCGCCGCCTCTCCTCGCTCCGAGCCGCGCATGCGCAGAGCGCTGCGTGCGGAGGACGCTGTGCCCGCGCTGTGGCGGCCGGAGCGGGGGCGCGCTGTGGAAGATGGCGCTGAGAGTGCTGAGCGGTGTGAGAAGTGTGAGCTGTGCCGCCAGACTCGTCCCATGGAGGGGATGTCCCGCCAGACACCTGAGCAGCGCCGCCCGCCTGCTGGCCGGTAAGTGTCCCCTGCAAGACTCGTCCTAACATTGTTATGTCATGTTTACTCCAATGTTATTAATATCAGCCGACTCCAGGCGAGCGCAAATGTCCCGGAGAGGAGAACTCACTGAGGACATCGGCGCAGGACACAGAACTCACTGAGGACATCGGCGCAGGACACAGAACTCACTGAGGACATCGGCGCAGGACACAGAGAACTCATTGAGGACATCGGCGCAGGACAGAGAACATGCCCCACAGAGAACTCACTACACAGTCACACGCTGCCATACAAGTCTGTTCTATGTAGTGTCACTTCATCACATGCCTCACCTCCAGAACTATCACTACTCACTGTATACACTCCGGGACCATCACTGTACCTGTACCCTACTGTCACCTGCACATTACACAGCTCATTCACTCTTTATTCACTGCACATCACACAGCTCATTAATTTCATACTCCCTGCACCATCACACAGCTCATTCACTCTATATTCACTGCACATCACACAGCTCATTCACTCTATACTCCCTGCGCATCACACAGCTCATTCATTTCATACTCCCTGCGCATCACACAGCTCATTCATTTCATACTAACTGCGCATCACACAGCTCATTCATTTCATACTCACTGGGCATCACACAGCTCATTCATTTTGTACTCACTGGGCATCACACAGCTCATTCATTTTGTACTCCCTGCACATCACACAGCTCATTCATTTCATACTCCCTGCACATCACACAGCTCATTCATTTCATACTCCCTGCACATGGCAAAGCTCATTCATTTCATACTCCCTGCGCATCACACAGCTCATTCATTTCATACTCACTGGGCATCACACAGCTCATTCATTTCATACTCACTGGGCATCACACAGCTCATTCATTTCATACTCACTGGGCATCACACAGCTCATTCATTTCATACTCACTGGGCATCACACAGCTCATTCATTTCATACTCACTGGGCATCACACAGCTCATTCATTTCATACTCACTGGGCATCACA